ACTGTCTCCGTTTGCTTCCTACCTCCTGCCTTTGCATGGAAACACTTGATAACAAGCTTGTGACTCCATGAGGCGTGGTAGTAATATGAGAAATAACTTGGACCACACACACCCTTCTCAGGAGCCTGTGGCCTACTTAGGCTTTCATGGCTGCAGCAACCGGAACAGTCTCAAACTTGCCATCAGCTCCCTTTTTCCTCTTCCCCACAGACTAATGAAACAGTCTAGTGGAAAAGTCTAGGAAGTGTTTTACTTTTTAGGCACTTGGAACTGAACAGCCCATTTGCACTTGAGGAAATGATAATACTTTGGCTAAATGGCAAATTGAGCTGTTAGTGACTTGGAGAATTGATAAAGATGAGGGGAAAAGGGGATGGAGACTTGCTCTGGTTTCCTGAATCCAATCCACTGCATTTCAAGAGTGTCCAAAAGTCAGTGCCCTTGGACTGTTTCGGCTGGCCTCTGTCCGGTTTCCACCTGTGCAGCCAGCACCTGCTGGCCCTCTGGTTACTGTTCTCATTGGCAAGGCCATGTGTTAGCTGGGCTGAGGACACTTTGCTTCTATTTTAACCACAGATGGCTTCTCAGAAGCTTGCTGCTAGTTTCTCAGCTGTGCTTTTCTTGTTCTTTTGATACACCATCACACTGTATGTTGTTTGATAAGTCATTTTTTATCAGTGAGAAGTTGCCTAACCTGCTGTATTTTTGGAGGTGCTGGATCTGAAAATCAGTCTGAACACGTTCATTGTACACAACTGGAGGTAGAAAAGAAGGGAGATAAAGCTAGAGGGAAGTTGTCTGTCATGATGATATTAGTAAGGGTGGGATTGAAGGCAAGGAGGAAAAAGAAAAATACAAACCACAAAACCCCCAAACAAAAAACATCTAAATTTTGACTGCAGCACTTGTATGACAGCATCTGTCGGAACTGGTCATTACCAGAAAGCCATACTGACTTCCAGCAGCCCCCTTCAAAGCTGAGCTGCTCTTCTGCAGTGGAGGTGGATGTATAATTCCTAGATAGCTAGGTTTTCTGAATATTCATTTTATATCCACTTGTGTTTGCTTGCTTTTGCAAGGGCAGTAAATGGAGGTAGGAATGTGCTGGGGAGCTCTTTGTAAAAGAGCAAAGATAAGGGAGTGGGAGCAGGTCTGTGACTCTCTGAACAGCAGGCAGAGTCATGGTAACCCCATGTGAAAAGCAGTAAGTACTCCTTGTTCTTGCCTGTTGCCCTAGACAGGGGAGGTGTAAAATGCTGACGTACCTGGTTTGAGTTCTCTTTCTGTCAGGGTGCTCCCTGGCAGGTCCCTTCCAACCGGCACGTAGCCTCCGCATCGTCCAGCTACCTCAACTATCAACATGTTTACAACAGCAGTGAAGAAGTAAATTCTCAACCAGCAACAAATCTGTCCACAGATGGGGAAGAAGCAAGCACAGAGTCTCCAGAGGCTATTTGGACCAACTTATGCTGATGTCAGCATGTCAAGGGGACTTGCCTGCGTTGGCCTGATGGGTACATTCGCACTTGTGTGTGGAAGTGGAGAGCATGTATATAAATGCTGAGATGCTCTGCTGTGTACAGTTAATGGGACACTTGTCCAACAGCTGTTGCTGCTGTGTTTAAAAAATGGTCATCCCAGCCCTGTGATAGTATCTGATTGTAGAGATTCCTTTCATTTTGTTTTTATTAAGAGTGCTTTATGTTTCTAGAGCTCTTAATTGGAAAGGTCAACAGCAGCCCAATCTAAATGATTCTCAAGTCACAGACAAACACGCTCCACATGCTCTGAGTGCTTCTTCCATCCAGCGTAGCTGTAACAGCCCCACCTAATGCACGCACAGTTGAAGGACTGAAAGCAACAGTTTATCCTGTTAGGTCTTTCTCATCAGCATATGTTCTCTTCTTGTAAAAAGCTGCTTCATGCAAGATCTTGGACCATTTCCCTGCTCTCCACCCCTCCAGAGAGACATAAGGGAAGTTCCACCATGGGAAACTGGATGAAAGTTTGAAGAGTAGATAGCAGAGAACAATCCTGCTCTGAGGGGACAAGGAGGGGGCCAGAGGTGATCTAACATATCTGCGACCTTTGGGACAGCAGCTGTGATGGCATTTCAAGTTGTGTAAACACTGTCCATCTGTAGGTCTTGTGTAACCGTGTCTGAGTACCTAGGACAACATTATCTTAGCTAGAATCTTGGAGCAAGTGACAATGAAGTAGCAACATTGCGACTGACATCATGTGTTTACTCTGGTGAAGTCAAGGGACGACTCAGACCATCTGAGTGAACTTATTGAGCTAAGCTGGCAGGCAGAGTGACAGAAAGCAGAAGTCACTTGGTGTCAGACTGCAGCCAAAACGCGTAGGAAGGAATCATTGTTTTGTTTTGCTTTGTTTTCAGTTGTGTACACAGCGCGAGGGTCAGCACAATACCTAAGAATCACAGCAGTTAACGTAGCAGTAGTACTGATGGGTTTGCCCTTCTCTTGGTCCCTCAGGATGTCTTGCTGCTGAGTCAGTTTATCCGTTCTGATGGAGGGATGTTGCCACGAAGGATCACAGGCCTTTGTTTGGAGGAGCACAAGAAGATTGCTGTCTGTGTGAAGATGGCTCACCGTGCAGGTACCTAGCCTCCTCCTAACACAAGCCCTTATTATGGGGTACCCATAGAAGCCCTTGAGAGGGGTCTCCTGTCCAGTCACTGTAGCTCAGTAGTGAGATGTCATTCTCCAGTCACCCAGCAGACTCATTATGGCCCAAGAGCTGGGACAGGATGATGGACCATAGGCTACTTGTTCCACTTTCTATGTGTCTTGGCTCCTGCCTTGGCAGCAAACACCCCTGCAGAAAGATCTGGGAAGTGGCGTAGTTTCTCATAACTAATGATTAAATATCAGCATCTGACATTACTTGATTTAGTGTAAGCTTGACCTACCCTGTTAATAGCATGGTAGCACCTGTCTCCCATCTGCCATGTGAAGGCTTTTTTACTTTATCCTGGGAGTAGGACCCAGGTTAACACAGTCAAGAGTGTAGTGCTGATCTTTATGCCCGGTACCTGAGTTGTATCCAGGTTAAATGGACTGAGAATTTTAATGGTCAGTTTTTCATCCTAGAGATGGGATCTGATTTGACACCAGTGCCCTATGTCTTCTCAAAAAGCCTGTCCAGTGAGGCCAAGTGGCTGTGTCTTTGGTGTGCATTTCCTCTCTCTATGCAGCAAAAACTCCTAGCTTCTCTTTGGCTGGGGTTGCAGGTTCAACAGTGACTAAAGATAAAATACCCTTTCTACTCAAGTTTTTGCTGTGCTGTCCCAGTAGGGACCTGGGTGACTGGGCTTGTGAGGTGTAATCTAACTTCTGTATTCTCTAGAGGCAAGAAGGAACTGCAAAATATTCTCACGCCTTTATTTTTTTGTTTCAGGTTTGTTGCCAAACCACAGACCTCCACTTCCTGAAGGGCATATTTCCAAGAAACCCAAACTCAACAGGTGAACAGTCTTGTCTTTCCACATCTCTTTTTCAGCATTAGATTGGAAAAGGAAAAGCAGTTCCTTATAACTGGGTAAAAGATGGCTCAGGCAACAGGACTCATATGTCCAGCTGGGGACCAGTAATGAGTGGTGTCACTCAGGGATCTGTATTGGGACCTGTCTTGTTCAACATCTTTGTCACTGACATGGACAGTGGGATTGAGTGCGCCTTCAGCAAGTTTGCCGATGACACCAAGCTGTGTGGTTTGGTTGATACCCTGGAGGGAAGGAATGCCATCCAGAGGGACCTTGACACGCTTGTGAGGTGGGCTGATGCCAACCTTACGAAGTTTAACCATGACAAGTGCAAGGTCCTACACCTGGGTCGGAGCAATCCCAGGCACAGCTACAGGTTGGGTAAAGAAGAGATTCAGAGCAGCCCTGCGGAGAAGGACTTGGGGGTGTTGGTCGATGAGAAAATGAACATGGGCTGGCTTCAGTGTGCACTCGCAGCCCAGAAAGCCAACTGTATCCTGGGCTGCATCCAAAGGAGCGTGACCAGCAGGTCGAAGGAGGTGATCCTGCCCCTCTACTCTGCTCTTGTGAGACCTCACCTGGAGTATTGTGTGCAGTTCTGGTGTCCTCAACATAAAAAAGACATGGGACTGTTGGAACAAGTGCAGAGGAGGCCACGAGGATGATCAGGGGACTGGAGCACCTCCAGTACGAAGACAGGCTGAGAAAGTTGGGGCTGTTCAGCCTGGAGAAGAGAAGGCTGCGTGGAGACCTCATAGCAGCCTTCCAGTATCTGAAGGGGGCCTACAAAGATGCTGGAGAGGGGCTCTTCACTGAAGACTGTAGTGACAGGACAAGGGGTAATGGGTTCAAACTTAAACAGGGGAAGTTTAGATTGGCTACAAGGAAGAAGTTGTTTACTGTAAGGGTGGTAAGGCACTGGAATGGGTTGCCCAGGGAAGTTGTGAATGCTCCATCCCTGGCAGATCCCCAAGCATTCAAGGCCAGGTGGGACAAAGCCTTGGGTGACATGGTTGAGTGTGAGGTGTCCCTGCCCATGGCAGGGGGGTTGGAACTAGATGATCTTAAGGTCCTTTCCAGCCCCAACTCTTCTATGATTCTGTAAGTGTACTCAGCATTTCAGAGAAGGTTGACCTATCATCATACTCTGTCAGTCTTTTAAGGACAGACCACATCTCATTCGAACCATTTATTCACACAGGATTAAAACTGCCACACATGTTAAGAGCCTGCCCTCCCTTCCTCAGTTGCTCTCACCTCCACGTCACTAACACTCAGTAGGGCAGTCACAGCACATGGAGTAGTTGAGGTTGGAAGGGGCCTCTGGAGAACATCTGGTCCAAGCTGCCTGCTCAAGCAGGGTCACCTAGAGCAGGTTAGCCAGGACTATGTCCAGTCAGGTTTTGAATATCTCTCAGGATGGACCTACCACAGTTCCCTGGGAAGCTTCTTCCAGAGAACCACCCTCATGTTGAGACAGTGTTTGCTTACATTCAGACAGAATTTATTGTGTTTGAATTTGTGCCATTGCCTCTTGTCACTGGACACCACTGGGAAGATTCTGGCTCAGTTGTCTTTACACCCTTCAGGTATTTCTGAACATTGCTGAGACCCCTCTGAGTCATGTTTTCTCCAGGCTGAGCAGTCCCTTTCTCTTGCCTTTTGGTGCCTGGCTCCCAACAGCAGTGGGGTGTGCAGGAAGGGGTACCAGCAGTTAGTGTGGGGCTGAGCAGCCAGCAGGGGACTATCACAAGCCTATTCTCCTCTGCCCCTTACCTGTTTCCCCCAGTCAGCGATTCACCCTCTGCCTGTCTTTGCTATGCAACGGGGTTTCTTCCCCCTCCCTAGCCTGAATGGCCCCTGCCTTTGGTGAGCAAAGGGAAGGCCTGTGTCCACCTCCTGTGCTGCACCAGGACTTGGAGGTGCTAATCCCCCGTTTATGACCTCACACTCTGTTTCCATGGGGATGTCAGAGCAGTTTATGAACCTTGCATTAGCAAGCTGTGGGGTTACCAGGGGATATGGGGCTGTTGCTGGGAGAACTTAGGCTGCAGGGCTGGGGAAGGCTGGAAACTCCTGCATTTCAGGTCTGCATTCATTTCTGCAGTGGGGATTTAAGGCAAACTCTTGGAAATGTCCCTTGGATGCTGTCAGGCTATGTACTAGCTATCAGTGAGGATCAAATTAGAGGAATCTACATTTGATGCAACCCGGTAGCCATCAGATACTTTAACTCTGAAAACTTCTTCCCTGTGTCTTACAACAATTTGGGATGCTTTAGCAGCTGTCTGTGTCTAGCAGCTGTGGGGTGGAGTGCATTATCTAGTTAGCATTCACATAGCAACCCTGCTTAGCAGGTTGGGACAGGAAATGGTAAATCCTTTATCGCTGGAATCGCACCAGGACTCCAGCTATAATGCCCTGACTCTTATAAGTTGTTCCATAGACTTTTAGTGAGAACAAAGAACAGATACCTCTGGATACATTGTATGTGCAAGTAGGTGAGCTACACTTCTGAAATCAAAGAGATTTAACTTGGAGATTAGTATCCAACCTCCCTATTATATTGCTACTCCTTCCCTACACCACCCTTGGTTTTCTCCTCCCAGCAAGTGAATGTAGCAAGCAAAGTGGAAGCAGAGTTTAAAAAAAGAGCAGAGCTGTTGCTGAGGAGATAGACCAGCATTGAAATAGGCAAGCTTTGGGGTCTGGCTGGAGAGAAGGGAATGGGATCAAGAAATCAAAAGTTTTTGTGGTGGGGTTGGAACTAAAATAAGTGAGTCCCAGAGGCAGGATAATGTGTAGGGGTACTTCAGGAATACTCTCTATGATATTGTCTTCTTAGCCTGCTGCAAGCAGAAAGGTCTGCATGTTGGAGTTGTGCAAACTCTTGGCCACTGAAGTTCAATGGGAGTTTTGTGCGTAGCCCCACCTGCATCTCCCACAGTGTTCTCTGGAACAGCAGCTGACATCACATAAGGCAGGAGATACACAGCATTGCATGGGGTTGTTGTGGCCCAAGCGCAGGACCTGGCACTTTGCCTTGTTGAACTTCATACTACTGTCCACAGCCTGTCCAGATCCCTCTGCAGAGCCTTCCTACCCTTCAGCAGATCGACACTCCCACCCAACTTGGTGTCGTCCACACATTCACTGAGGGTGCCCTCAATCCCCTCATCCAGATCATCAATGAAGATGTTAAGCACTGGCCCCAATACCAAGCCCTGGGGGACACCACTAACGACCAGTCACCAACCAGATGTGACACCATTCACCACCACTCTGGGCTCAGCCATCCAGCCTGTCTTTAACCCAGAGAAGAATCCACCTGTCTAGGCCATGAGCAGCCGGTTTCTCCAGAAGGACAGTGTGGGAGACAGTGTTGAACGCTTTACTAAAGCCCAAATAAACAGTGTCCACAGCCTGTCCCTCCTCAGTGGAGCAGGTCACCTTATCACAGAAGATCATATTGGTCAAACAGAACCTGCCCTTCATGAACTTGTGCTGACCGGGCCTGATCCCTCTGTTTTCCCGCATGTGCTTTTCTCTCCAGTCTCACAAAGTTCTGGCTGATGCTCCCTTTTGCCAGGCTTCCTCCAGGATTATGTCAGTATTTTTGAGAGCAGGTGCTTCTCTTGCCAAAAGAGGGACAGACCACTCTGATGGAAAGCCTTTTTGTCTCTGCTCTTCCCTGTGAGACAATGTACAGGCCAGTGGCATGAGAGGAACCCTATGGATCCTAAGGAAGTGCATAAAGAAGGGCTGAGCAGCTGTGTTAATGTGTACTTTTAAGAACAGCAGAAAAGCTTCTCCTCAACTTTTCCTTGGCTACACTTGGCGGCTGTCTTGGCCAGAGTGTTTGGCCCATGTCACGGTCACCTTGTTTAAAGTGAGCCTGCTTCAAATACAAAGTGTCTGGCATGCACTAGCTAGCACCTAGCTGAGATTAAAACATAACATGCCATCATATGGAACTATCAGCAGACTGTCTTAACAAGGGTCAGGAGTGCTGCCTTGCTGTTGATCTAGTGATGTGGATTTATCTAGTGTGGATTTATCATCCAGAATGCCTCTGCCTGCTCTGCTCCTCCAGAAGGTGCTCTTGCGGTGCTTATTCAATGTTCTCCAAAAGGCAGAATCCCTGCTTTATTTTCTGAAGGGGTTTTATTGTCTCCATTTTATGAACTTTGGGCATTCCCTTCTACATAGTCCAGAGAAGGGCCATGAGGATGATCAGGGGACTGGAACACCTCCAGTATGAAGACAGGCTAAGAAAGTTGGGGCTGTTCAGCCTGGAGAAGAGAAGGCTGCGTGGAGACCTCATAGCAGCCTTCCAGTATCTGAAGGGGGCCTATAGGGATGCTGGGGAGGGACTCTTCATTAGGGACTGTAGTGATAGGACAAGGGGTAACAGGTTAAAACTTAAACAGGGGAAGTTTAGGTTGGATATAAGGAGGAATTTCTTTCCTGTTAGGGTGGTGAGGCACTGGAATAGGTTGCCCAGGGAGGTTGTGAATGCTCCATCCCTGGCAGTGTTCAAGACCAGGTTGGACAAGGCCCTGGGTGATACGGTTTAGTGTAAGGTGTCCCTGCCCATGGCAGGGGGGTTGGAACTAGATGGTCTTAAGGTCCTTTCCAACCCTAACTATTCTATGATTCTACATGCCTCAGATTTCTCTGCAGAGAGGTAAGAATTTCCCTGCTTAGCACTGGGTCACTTGGCAGCTGGCTCCCCTTACCCACCCCATGTCCTGATCCTCTTCCTACCACTAGAATGGAAAAGGAGAACAAAATGCTTTGGGATGTAGTGGCCTGCAGATTCCATCTTGTTCTTGGTCTAGTGCAGTATGGAATTGCCTATCCACAATGTAATTTAACATAGAGGATGAGATTGGAAACTGCAGAAGGTGTAACGTGAAAGTGAAATGCCAGTCTGAACCAAGCTGTATAGTCCTGTGGGTGGTAGGAGACATATGAGAACACCTTGTACTCAGAATTCAACTGGGGAGTGCTCTGCAGTGCTCTCTTCTACCCCCTGCAGCTGTGACACTGTCCAGGTGAGACTTGCCATGATATTTCTTATTTCTTGGACTTTAGTGCTTTGACTTTTTGCTTTCTGCCTGATTTGGTTTTGACAGCAATAGCCCATGAGTGTTACCACTTAACTGCTTTACTATGGGTGCTTTTGAAGAAATACGGCCATGGGAATACCCCTGTCATCCATAAACTCTTGAGTCTTCTGTCCTCTACCTCTCTTTTTATCATGTGTCTGCAGAACTTGGACGTGGAAAACTAATGAAGTTACCCCCCGTCAATGCAGAATTACTTCCTACCGTTCGTTTTCTCATGTTTGGCCTAGTCTAGGGCTTTCACTGTCTCCAAAGGATGATTCCGCAAGCAAATTTGTCTTGCAGACAAGAATTGTTCCCTCATGCTTAGCCTGAATTCTCCCTTTCATAACCTCCTGCTGTCATTTCTGCATCCATTTGTGCTTCAGCCGGGCATGTTCCAGTGAAGTGCTTCAGCAGCAAGATACTTTCACTAGCCCATGAGGCTGAGGAAGTTGTCAGGGATTTCACCAGCACTGTGCACAGTGACAGACTGTTCTCGTATTCCAGAGTCGTGTGTGTGCAGGCCACCACCAGAACTGTTTGGGAAGTGGTCAAGCACAGCTGCAGGTCAGACTTCTGTCCTTGCTTTCAGGAATGGAAACCTGAATAGCTCAGCAGTTTTCTTCCCAGCATGGAAGCTGGCGCATGGATAGTGTGGACTAACACTCTATCCAGAACAGTCGCTGAGTTCAAGCCGGCATTTAGATGCTCTCTTAATGTGAAAATAGCACTCACTTTCTTTTGGCAGGTCCAAAATACTGATTAAAGCAGTTGTTCCCTTTCCAAAAGGGCTAAGGGATATTACAGGTTCCCTCAGTCTGGGCTCTGTCAGCAAGATGTGCTGGAGTACTTATTATGGAGTACTTGATTTTGAGTGCTCAGTTGCCACTGCATTTTCAGCTTCCTGCTGGAAGAACAAAACTTGGCAGGGACAGTATCCAAGTCAATCCCTCCTCTATCACCTAAACTGAAGAAGTTGCTATGTGTTAGGAGAGAGGCAGTTCCATATGAACTCCTCATGAATTACAAAGTTCTCGGGCTCTGTGGAAACCTCTCGTCCCTCGGAGCAGAATCTGGTTTCACTGCTATCAGTGTTTCACTCCAGCAACATGTGGTTTCTCTCATCTGCATGGAAACTGTGCATAGCATGTGAATTCAAAGCAAAGAGCCAGAGCGGCTGCAGGTGAGCAAAGCCAAGAGGTGTCATGGGAAGAGATGTGGCAAGGAGGAGGCAGTCTTGCCAGCACTTTGATCAAGTGCTTCCTGCAGTCTGGAGCCCTCAGCCTTCTGCTCTGAATCCAAACAAAAGCCAGATTGAGAAAGTTCAGTGAGGGTTCATTAGTTCAGCCTTGAACTGCACCAACATGGCCTTTGCTTGGGCTGTGTAAAGGACCGCAGTTACCCCACGGGTAGGTCATGCCTACTACTAGCTGTTAAGAGGCAGCCTCTGAGTGGGAAGGCTTTGGGGCCCTCCTGCGTGCTGAATAAATAGACTTGGACATGCCACAGAGATTGTAGGCAATTGCAGTGACTGCAGGTGACTAACCACAGTTGTTTCCATCCTGCTTATATCTTGCCTTTTCCCATCAGGGAAATCCTATCAGAATTCCGATCCCTGATAAAGCATGGATTCCCATGCTTTATCCAAACTACTCATTTGTGCAGCTGGAGTCTAGGATTCTGGTTGTTGCCCAGGATCCTATGGTACTCAATGGGACAAGCAGAACCTGGAGGTGAGCTGCTGGTCCCCTAGATGGGCAGGTCTGTACACTGAGA